TGGGTATTGTAAAATAGGGTCGTTTGTTAAGATTTGTTTACAAGTTTCAAAACAATCAATAAAATCTTTGTCATGGTTTACTTTAGAACCTTTCTTCAAACATTTGGTCATTGGTTTAGTAATTTTTGCAAAATCTTTTATAAATCGTCTGTAGTAACCTAATAATCCTAAAAAGCTTTTTATTTCAGTTTGGGTTTTTGGAATGGGAAATCTTTTTATGGCAGAGATTTTATCAGGGTTTGGTTTTACGCCTTGAGGGGTAATTACATGTCCTAAATACATAACTGTTTTTTGTAAAAATTCTGACTTGTCTAATTGTACTTTCAAGTTACTCTTTCTGAGTCTTTCGAAAACTATTTTTAATTTTTCAAGATGCTCTTGTAAAGATGTACTATAAATTAAAATATCGTCTAAATATACTATACACGTTTCGTCTGTTAATCCTCTTAAAACATTATCAATAACTCTCTGAAAAGTCGAGGGTGCATTTTTTAAACCAAAAGGCATTCTTTTGAATTGAAAGTGACCTTGTGGTGTACTAAAAGCTGTTTTTTCAACATCTTGTGGGTCGACTTCTATTTGGTGGAAGCCACTTGCAAGATCTAGTGTCGAAAAGTAATTTGCTCTCCCTAATTTATCTAAAATTTCTGTTATGTTTGGTAACGGGTATTTGTCATCTACGGTTCTCTCATTTAACTTTCTATAATCTATTACTAGACGCCATTTTCTTTTTCCTGTAGCATCTTGTTTTTTCGGAACCACCCAAATGGGACTCGAAAACGGGGAATTGCTATCTTCTATTATACCTTCTGCTAACATCTTATATATTTGGGATTTAACCTCTTCTCGGTGAACTTCCGGGAAACGATATGATTTTGTATATATTGCAGAATCATCAGTAAGTTTAATTTTATGTTTAATACTATTAGTAAAACTTAAAGGTATTCCTTCGCAATAAAAAATATCTCTATATTGGAAACAAAGCTTTTTTAGTAATTCTTTTTCTTCTTTGTTGCAATGATTTATCCTTATATTTTTTAAATTCCTCTTTAACATGTTATCATCATTAATAGACGTTTCTTCGTCAGTTTCCATCTTTCTTATAAAATTAATATTTACAGTATCTAATGGTTCTATATCAAAGGGTTCAGTAATAGTTAACGTTGTCTTATATTCGCTTATATTCGTAATAGTGGTTATAGCAAAATTATTTTTTACATTAACTACTGCTTTAGGCATTTCGATTCCTTTACCGAAATTCTTATATTCTAATATACCTAATCCTACATTTAATTTTACCGGTATTTTGACTATTTGCTTAGTTCTAGGGGGAATAACTATTGTATGATTTAAAATTGACTTGGGATATAATATATCCTTTTTACTGGGTTCAAAAATTATGGGTATCGTTACATAAGGCGTTTTCATTTGTCGCGTGTTAACATTAATTGAAGCTTTTAATTTTTGTAATAAATCTATACCAATTAATCCATCAAAATTTTCGCTAAATTTAAAAACATAAAACTTATTATATTGATTTACTTTAAAAATGTTAAAAGCTGGAATATTAATTATTTCATTGTGCATAGAAATTCCGTGAGCCGTCTGTATATTAAAATTTTCGTAAGAAATAAAATTTTTATAAAATTTATGCGCTAACTGTGGAGATATCAAACTTTTGGAAGACCCTGTATCTAATAAAAATCTAGCATTGAGTTCAGGAATAATAATATGTGGTAAATCTGCTATCGTTGTATTTAAATATATTATGTCGGATTGTAGTTTTCTTGGGCCATGCAAAAATTTCTGTTTTCAACATTTTGTGTGGGATTGTGATATGATCTTTCTTTTGTTTCATTTGGATTGCGATAAGGACTGGATTGAGTTTCATAAATGTTCTCGTAAGGAAGTTCATTAGCTCCTTGAGTTGGGTGTACGTAATCAGTGGGAATATTATTTTCAAAGGGGTTTTCGAATTGTATTTGATCGTTATTAATTTGTTGATTAAATAATTGCGTGGAGGTAAAATGTGGTCTAGATCTTAAAGAAGTATTTCGTGAAGTTGTATCCATCGGTTCTGGCTGGTATTGATTTTGATTTTGGGATTGATTATTAATATTTCTTTGTTGAAAATTAGGATTATTATTATGGAAGTTCCTTGGTCGGAAATTAGAATTATTATTGTCGAAATTCCTTGGATTAAAGTTAGAATTATAATTATTGAAATTTCGGAATTGATTTTGATGTGGCTGAAAGGTATTGTTAGGATTAAAATTATTATTTAGGTATTGCGGTCTGATGTTTTGATATTGGTAAGGTGGAAATCTCATATTAGGGCGATTTTGTTGTAAATTATTTCTAGGAATAAAAGTTCGATTAGAATTATTGTTTCTCGTAGGATTATGTCTCGATGAGGGTCTAAAAGAATTTTGTGAGTTTAAATTATTTCCGCGTTGTAACGAATATAGAAAATTCTCTTCTTCGATAACGAAGCTCATAGCTTTCTCTAAACTGTCTGGGTTTCTTAATCTTATATTTGTTTGTAACGATAAGGGTAAACCTCTAATGTAAGTCTTTAAACATAAGTCATCGTAACTGTTTATTCTAATTAATTTCTCTTGTGCATTAATATTAAGCGTATTTAATTTTTGTGTTACTAAACTACGTGTTTCTTGGCATCGCATGCCAAAATTATAAGGGGTTTCATTTTTGAAAGGCCTCAACGTTATTAGGTCTTGAATAAGGCAATCGAGATCTCTCTGGTCTCCAAAACTAAGATTAAGGGCATCTTTTACTAGTTGCCATGTATTTAATTCTGTCCTAGAACCTATTAACATTTGAGCTCTTCCATTTAATTTACCTAATATAGCTCGAAGTAAAAATGTATTCAAGGTGCCGTCTGTTTGACTAGCAAAATTAGTTATTAAATTTTCACAATTTTCTATAAATATGGTTAAGGTATGTGGATTACCATCGTATGTTGGGATGGAATCTAAGTAAAGTTTTAATAATTGATAGTTCGTTTGAGCCATTTCGTTATTTGTATTACTATTTGTTTCTAAAATTGAATTTAATTCTGCTACAAGGCTACTTAAATCTAATTTGCTATCAGATTCGCTCATTAAATATTTATTCAGATAATATATCAAATTGTAATAAAATATAAAATATGTTTCAATATAGAACGTTCAACTTCAATATAATAAGATATTGTCAAAAAATATAATAATATAATATAATAATAATAATCTTTTTCTTATTAAAAATATCTTGCAAAATCATAAAACATTTAAAAAAAATTGTTTGCTCTCGTTAGCTCTCTGACTATAAGTATTTTCAAATATGGAAATAATAAAATGGAAAATAAAATGGAAAAAATAGGAAACACTTACATTAAAATGTAGATTTTCAACATTGCTGCCTATAGGATTCGACGATTTTGTTCTTCTCCCAGGTCTCGTTGAAACTACTGCTTAAATCTACTGCCTCTAGGGTTCGACGATTTTTGTTCTTTTCCCAGGTCTTGGTGATACCTTGTCTAAAGTTGATCTTGGACACTTTCACAAAAAGTTCGTTTTTTCGGTGAATCGTTAAAACGAAAAACTACGCGAAACCGTTCGATTTTTGTAACGTTTAGCGTAATTCCCGAAAATCTGTACTGACTGCGCCAATGATGTTTCTAAGTCCAAGAACAATATTTTTAAAAAATAACTTTATTGACAAGGGACTACTTACTACAGTAAAATGCAAAATAAGAGTGACGCTATACAATGCAAAAGTAAATTAAGTAAGCTCGGTGACGCCGAGGTGTAGCGTGCTGACGCTGTCCTTTTATTATAGTTGAATTAGCAGTTCTGGTTTCTTAACTTATATATATATATATATATATGTATATATAGGTTTTTTTTATAGATATATTACTTGTAGATTTTAGATTTTATGACATCGTACTTTCAAAACAAAAGTTACAGTCTCTACTATTCTGTAAGGTTCATCATGGCCAATGTACAATTCAAACCGATAACATTCTTATTAAATTTTATTGTAATCTGTCAAAGTATATTACAAAGTAATTGATATGGCAAACCCTGTTAGTATGACTTTTGTTTGAAGCCGAAAGTAATGCTATATATCGATAATAAATATTACCAATGGAACCACATCTCTACCAAACAATTTGAGTTTGAGTTCTCTACCAGTTCAAGATACAATTCTTGTTTAACGAGATTTAGGAAAAAATACTCAACGTGTTATTGCAAATATTTTTCACTTTTACAGTTTTATGTATGTTGATATTAAAATTTTGTAAGGTTTCTTACCGGTAGCTAGATTATAAGCCGGAACATATTATTTTTTCCTATTGTGGCAAAACTGTACATTCAAAAATTTTCAAAAAATTCATAAGTATTTCTTAGGATTATATCTTTATGCTGTAAGAAAATTAACAAAATTGTATGTTTGGTTTTCCCGCTTTATACTTGGAAAAAAGCAGTTTTTTTTATTGTTTCGAAAGCGAAAACATGAAGTTTTCTTTATCAAAATAATTCTAGTGATCACATATACCTTCTCAAATTTTTTGAATGTGTAGTTTGTCTTTTGGGTGGTGCAAATCAACCTTAATTAAATTTAAATTACTGAACTTTCTAGAATGGTGATACAGTGTATCGCGTGGTGCTGCACATGGAAGGTAACGGAAAACCAACATGTATTTTTTTTTCTAGTACAATCTAATATAGAGGAAAATAAATATGTACATGGAATATTAAAACTGTGCACGAAGTAAGAAAAATATACTCAAATTCAATTGCAAGGAAAAGCACATTGCAAAAGAGGTCCGAACAGATGGAGAATTTCCAGGCTCTATAATCTTTTAAAGTGTTTTTAACGATCATTGGACTTTAGAGCAGTAGCAAATAAAGTAAAAATAGCCATATTGATCTTAGGAATAAGAAACTTGACTGATATAAAATAACATAGTAATAAAATGTAAATGTACTTACCTGAGGGTGAAACATAACCATGGTTAACCTTCTTAACCCAAATATCACGCATTAGTGCCTGATAAGTCCTACTCAGTCCCGGTTTCTTGCCGTCACTCAACAGATGTACCATTTCCGTGCAGTCCAGAAAAAACTTCGTCAAAGGCGCCGTGTTGCTCAGTGCTTGCAGAGCGGCGTTCATATAACACGTATTTCCTATATTTTGCAAACCAACGAGTCCACAAGGACGCTCCGAAGCGTAGTCACGATATTCCTCTTCGCCGTCACTGGAATCTGATACGTCACCGCCCATTCCCACCGTCTGGCCTGCTGCCCTATCCAACATGGGTCCTAAAAAACACCTCCTTATTATAGAAATAATAAAAATGCGATATGTGGCACTCCCGGAGTAACCGAGGAGGGAAAGTATAGCTTTCTTATCGTCTACGCACGGAGCGATGATTTTTAATTTAATTACATACATTTGACTACGTCACATTCCCAAACTTAAGTTTGTCGGACTCTACCAAACTTGAGCAAGTTGATAAAATCGTTAGATAAAATTAGATATAGGATAGAGCAGGCTAGAGCTGCTTTTAGAAGGATGTCCAAGGTGTTATGTAACAGAGATCTAAAATTGGCATTGAAGATCCGCCTACTTCGCTGCTACGTGTTCTCGGTCTTACTTTATGCTGTCGAGTCCTAGACTGTGAATTAAATCGATCTAAATCGCTTTGATGAGGCTTTCGAAATGTGGTGCTATAGAAGAATTTTAAAAGTTTCCTGCGTGGAGAAGATTCAAAACTCCACAATAATAGAACATCTCAGCAAGACTACTGAGATCATAAAAAGCATCAAGCAGAAAAAGCTGGAGTATTTCGGAGAGGTCCCAAATATAGGTTGCTACAAAATATCATGCTAAGAAAAATAGCAGGCAAACGCAGTCCAGGACGAAGAAGAACCTCATGGTTGAAGAACTTGCGAGATTGGTATGGTGTTGATACATGCATGCTATTGAGGGTGGCAGTGAATAAAATTAAGATAGCTACGATGGTAACCAACGTTCTGAAAGGACATGGCACGTAAAGAAGAAGAAAGATGAAGCAAGAAAATTTGGGTTGTACATAACTGAAACGAAAAACAAGTATATGGAAATGCGTGGTGAGATAAGAACACGATAAATTCGTCACACTTAAAACAAGGAAAGGAATACAAAATTGACAATGTCAGCCAGTTTGAGTATTTAGGTGTAACAATAACGAATACAGGGAAAAAGAAATAGAAAAGAGATTAATAAGAAGTAGAGCAATGGGCTCATTAAACAATATTCTAAAAGCAAAAATTGTATGCAGGGTCACATCACTCGAATGCCAGAGAAACGTTGTGTAAAAAAGATGTTTTTTTGAGAAGGCGCGGGTAAAATGAAAAGAAGAAGACCACGATCAAAGTGGTTTGCCATAATTTATTTTTCATACCAATATCTTGGAAAATATTTTGATAACTTACCTCTTTCCGGGGTATTTGTTCTAAGTGTACTATAACTTCCATGGCCTGAGTCTCTGGATCTTGCGGTGAAAGTATCGACCTCTTGGTCGCTGTCATAGTTTTGGGAATCCATGAACACTTCTCTTTTACAATCGTAACACCATATTCTCCGAGTGGAGAGGTTCATATGAACACAGTGAGTGGGATTGTTCTGTAAGAAAAAAACTAGATAATTAATAGTATTCTCAATAATATTAATATTCTTAAGTTAACACGTTAAGCGCCACCATGTTAAAAAGAAACGCAGGTCTAGGGGCCGCTGTGTAAAATTCATAAATATGTATTAAAAATGCCCTACTTAACTGTGTCTTTTATAATTTATATAGTATAATGTTATTTTCTCATGAAAACATTGTTGTATCGAAATGGATACAAGTGGCCCATTTTCATAAATTGACGCTGTTGGCCACTTGCATCGATTTGGATTCAGCATTATAAACTATAAAATCCGGACCTTATGTTCAAACAGAAAAAATAATCCTCCTGAAATTGTGAAAGCAAAGTTAGACAAGTATCAGTCTACGACTTTACAAAGCAACACAGGTTGTATTGTGTTAACATGGAAGGACAAAAAATATGTCTTGGTGATTTCAACAAAGCACAGCAATGCAATGACTCCTGTAAGAAGATATGGCGAGGAAATAGAAAAACCGATAATAATTTTAGAGTACAATAGATGTACTACTAGTTTATGAAAAGGGATCAAATTGCATCGAAAATTAGCAATATAATTACTAACAGGAACTACGGTAATAAATGCGTATTGTGTACATCAGATCGTAACGAAGAAAAATATGTCCATCACCAAATTCAAAGAACAAGCTCAGCTTTTGGACGAAAATTTAACAAGACCTTTTCCGTCTAATAACATCAACGAAAATCATATTTTAGTGGATGATAATAAGAAAAGAAGATGTATGGCTTGCTACGAAAGGCTAACAAACAGCCACGATTGGAAATATGCACAAGCCAAATCTTCGTAAACTCGCTACAAATGTAGTGCTTGTAAAGAATTTTATTGTCTCAAATGTTTTTTTATTTCTCATAAATCTGAAATATTAATGTAATAACATTTATTAAGAGTTTTTATTAATAGCTTCTAAAAATAAATGTTTTATTCTTTTATTTAAATTAATTGCATTTTATTTTTAACAAAATGTGTTATATAATTATCAACTTGTAAAAAAATCGTTGGCCAAAAACAAATTTTGGACCAGCCGGCCATGCTTTATAAGTCTCCCATTCAATTAAATACAAACCCTGCATTCTTTTGAATTCAGCTAGCCTAGAGTGAAAGTATTCCTTTGTATCTGTTTGGATACAGGTGGCCAAAAATTATCAAAGTAGTTTGAATCTAATAGGATACAAATGGCGCTTAAGGTGTTAAAGTTGATTTAATGTAATCGAATGAACTATCTTACAATAAAATCGTCCCAGGAACGCAACTCAGCAATATTGGCAATATCATTTTTAAGTCGTCTACTTTAAAATGCATAATGTATGTCTGAATAGTCAATATAAATGAGTCAGAAAAAATTAAATTATGAGAAGAATTTTTCCATAAGTAACAAAAACAAAATTTGTTAATTTATTAATATTTTGTATTTTGAGAACGATTTCTACAGTGTAAATTGAAACATCAAAAATAAACTTATTTTAACTTATATTGTGGCTTATTCCCAACTAAAATAAAATAATTAATGGCAACATTATTGAAGGAATATTTCCCTACGTCAATAATACTGGTAAAAAAAAGAAATAATTCTCAATTTTTAATTCTCTTTTATAATTGCCAAGTTATTACCAAAAAAATGCAGTTTTTTTAAAATGTAATAGAAATGTACAGATCCTTATTAGCTTCATTGTAATCAGCTGATTTTTGATTACACTTATCAATTCAAATACCACAATTGATACCATTGTGTATTGTCTCCCGGCATAGTTATTCGATTAAAAACCGAAGACTCTTAAAAAAGTAGTAGTGCATTTCTCAATGTAATAATAAAAAATTAGCACCACAGTTTGCCCAATATAAGTGAAAACACAAATTGACGTTTTGGGAAAGTTATAGTAGTAATAAACTCCGCATTACAAGTCCCAAGCTCGGCGTCATGCAAGAAAGGGAAAGCAGTAATAACCTCGTAAAAAACCAAAGGTTAACTGGTTTGACTAAAGGATAAAATATTTTTTCAAGTAACTTTAGGCTGTCTGTTTCAAAAGAAAACAAAGAAAATGAAATCATATCTTGTAGCACACCCAACGATGGACAGTGTTTGAAGTACACAAAATAAACGAGACCGCGTTGCTCAGGGTCGGAGGCGATGGGGGTTGGTTAGAAAAGACAGTCTTATTACCAAATAAACGAATTGGAGACAAGAAATTAGGAGATGATAGCTGATGATAGATGGAATACTTGTAGAAATGTTGAAGGATGGGAGTGAAATTATTCTCGAAGAATTAAAACATTTTTTCAATGAATGTCTTCACAGAGGAGAAGTCCCAGATGATTGGAATGAAAGTTTGACAATACTTCTCTCCAGAAAAGAAGAAAGGGGGATTTGAAGAACTACAGGCCAATCTCTCCGCTGTCCCAAATGTAAAAACTGTTTATGAGTGTAATAACTAACAGGTCAACGTCGAAGCTCGAAAGTTATCAACCGGTGGAGCAGGCAGGATTCCGAAAGGGTTACAGTACAGCGGATCAACTTCTTATAGTCAGAACGCTAATAGAAAAAGCCAATGAATATCACTTGAACTTATACATTTGCTTCGTTGATTATGAAAAGGCATTTGACTCAATAGAACTTTTTGCAATAGAGAGAGCTATGAAAAACTGCAGGATACACTCCCGATACAGAATGCTCATACATAATATTTACAAGAAAGCTACAATGAAAATATTCACTTAATAAAATAAAGAAAAATTATAAATAATTTTCCAAAAAGCGAGAGGGAAAAGACATGTATTTTCTTTGGTGGCAAAGAAAACTCTTAATAACCAAAATAGATATATAAACAAATAAGTACATAATAACCAAAATACATATTTGAAATATGTGAATGAAAACTTTATAGGTTTTTTGATCGCTACAATCTTTATACCTCACACGTAGAGTTTGGGAAGTTTGAATTATAATTCCACTAGATTTCTATATCAGCCGAGACTTGCCAATAAACTGCAGAACCTCTCGGCAGAAAGTTCAGTTAATGAACTCTATGAAAAATTAAATAGACGAATATAAGACAAGAAGTCATATTTTTGAAAGTGTTGACAGCTTCGCATACCTTGGCTCGCTAGTGACTACTACCAATAAAACAAGCAAAGAAATTAAAAGACGAATAAACCTTACAAATAGAGCATACTATAGACTCCAAAAATAATTCCACTCAAGAAATATAGAAAGAAAAACTAAAATTATTATATACAAAACACTGCTAATGCCGGTCCTCACATACGGGGCAAAAACATGAACTCTAACGCAGAAGAATGAAAGACTTCTGGGAATATTTGAGCAAAAGATACTCCGCAAAATACTTGGAGCTATAAACACTATGCTGAACAAATGGTTGGGAAGTACCAGTGCGGTTTTCAACCCAATAAATCAACAACGGATCAAATCTTCACAGTCAGTCAGATTCTTGAGAAAACGCTTGAGTTCGGAGTCGACACCCACCACATATTCGTGGATTTCAAAGCCGCATACGACTCAGTCAACAGACTTGAGGAAACAGATGACCCCAAAACTTTAAGTTACCATATATAAAACACTAATAAGGCCAGTGTTAACACAAGGGTCAGAAACGTGGTCACTTACACAAAACGACCAAAAATTGCTTAAACGTTTCGAGAGAAAAATTCTAATGAAAATATATGGAGGAGTCCAAGAACAGGGTTTGTGGCGTAGGCACTACAACTTTGAGTTATACAGAAGTTTTGGGGAACCTGACGTTGTAAAGATAACATAGAGGATGATCTAAAATCCATTGGAGTTAAAGCATGGAGAAGAGTTGTCAGCGACAGGGGCGAATGGAAGATTGTTCTGAAGAAGGCTTTGGCTCATAACGAGCTGTAATACCACTGATGATGATAAACGACCAAGGGCAGTGGAGCAAAGTATTTAATTTCGAATTATACCAACCCTTTATTGAACCAGATACATAGTAACGTTCATTAAAACACTGCGACTTAGATGAGCCGGACACATAATACGAATGCCTGACAACATGATTTCTAAAAAGCTATTGACAAGAACACCTATGGGAAGAAGAAGCAGAGGCCAACCGCGAATTAGGTGGTTAGATGGAGTTGAGACCGGCTTGGGGATACTAGAGATCAGAAGATGGCAACACGTTACTAGAAACCTAACAGAATGGCCACTAACCTTAGAGCATGTCACAGAGGAATGTCAAGCCAAGGATGATGATGAAACACACAATAATAAAAGCTGTTCAAAATTTATAACTTCACGCGACGAGTATAAGAGTGATCATTGTAGTTCTGATTGATTCTTGGAGACTTCTCACGTATTACTACATTACAAGCACAATCATTTACCAATAAAAGTAATCACGGTAACGAACGAGGGCAAATCGTTATAACCAAATATTTTTTCCAAATCTATCACACATTTTACTATGTAACTTGTTCAAATTGATAAAAAATCCTTAAACTTAATAAAACATAAACAAATACATAAATACCTAATAAAGAAACAATTGTGTACTAATTCTAAACTAAACTAATCAATATCTCAGTACTTTCTTAACTTTCCTCGACATAATTTTATATCAGTGCATCAAAATATGAGTTATCTTATCCAAAGCCACTTACTTTTCAGTATAAATGCTGTAAGATTATCACAATGATAAAAAGTTGTATTAAGTGATTAGATTAATATATAATTTCAAGAATTATTACGAAAGTGTGGAATTACCATTACAGTCTTACACAGAAGAAATATAACAACAAACAGGTTATAAAATCAATTTTTAACCAATGAATTTTTCTTGGTAAATAACTTAATCAACACAAATATCTTAGCATTGATTCTGAAACTATTTTATACTGGCATGTTGTACCTTGAATATCTTATATTTTTTGCTAATAAATTACAATGATCGTAGTTAAAATTACATGTTTTTGATGTTGCGCGTGCAAACCCCCGACATGGTTTTCAAAACAGTTTTTTGTCAATTGGCGGACATTGTTTCATGCTTATTTACAAAATGAAATAAAACTTAAATCATTAAATTTAACCCTGACAATTATGAAAACAAACATCCTGTGTTTGAAAAATAATTGAAAAGTACATATTAAGGAAAAGAGTTCCTTGCAAGTAGTGTAAATATTTTCATTTGATTTGATCATTCTCTGTCTTACTTGGTTTACCCTTCAGTTCAATGTACGCCACTCTAACATTTTCTAGTAACAAATTTTAGAGGAGTTACCAATAGTTAAAATTTAAATTTAACTTGAACGAATGATTAAGTTGAAAGAATTTTTTCAGTGTTAATGGACTTGATTCTTTCTAAAATTTCGGAGAGTTTGGCTGATTTTTTATTGGCATTAAAACATTCAAAAATGAAACATTTTATGATAAAACAACATTAAAGTTTACGGATTTTGTCAAGCAAAACAGAGTCAATGCCAGTAATGGCCTAGGTTGAAATCTTCTCACCTTACCTTCATATATATTGTTACGATAAATAATGACTCATATCTAGACTAAACATTCTTTTTCATTCTGATAGTTTCTAGATACTCTCCGACCCTCCGATGAGAACCTGTTTGCCTTCGATGGAATTCCTTTCTATTCGAGAAGGTCATCGATCCTTCGCCGGGATTCCGGAACTAGCGGTTATTTAGTATATATGGAACATTTTATTGAAAAGCGAGGAGTCCGAAAATATAATCGTATCGAGTTTAAATTGTAACGGGAAATAAATATTGTGAAATAAATTAGTGAATATTGTATATATAAATTAATAAAGTCTGTAATAAACTTGTAAATGTTTTCTTGTAAGTGGTTTCTAAATATAGAACCCTTTTATAATAAATAAAGACAATAAATTAGATTAATAAAAACAGTTCAATACATTTAAAATATCAAATTCACACTTACTGCATTATGTATGGTACTATGATCATTTGATTTTTCTGCACAACCTATCCTCAAGCAATTCTTGTGCAGACATATCCACAAATGAGGACCACGGCAGTCACAATCGGCACATATTATCTAAAAAAAAAATGATAAACAATAATGTGATTGACATGTAATTTAAGTTTTTGTTTATTACCGAAAATTAAATTCACTTTTATAGTATCTTTGTTTGAAAATTATTAATTGTTATTAAGAGTGTAGACATTAACAGTCAAAAATTAATACTGAAGTGGTAGCAATACTATCTTTTGGTATGGCTAATAACTAAGACCAGAGGAAAATAATAGAAAATTAATAAAAATAATTTATTGCATCATACTAAAAAGTTAACCTTAAATTAACCATAAAACCATTTTTGGCACAGGTAAATTATCTATTTTAAGTATATACTAACTAGGGACAGCCTCAATGCTCTGAGAATGCTGCTAGTATCGCAAGAGAAAGAGGAAATAAAACTATGGTATCCCTCTCGCACCCCACTTTGACTGAACTTGTCTTACATCCATCAGCTTTTCTGTATAAAAGCTGAACTGCAAGGTACAAGGTTCGAGAGGTCTGGCTACCTCTAGCTAGTATATGCTTAAAAATTAGTTGAGTGTCTTAACCCTTTGACGGCCAGAGAATATAAATTTTCTCGCCCCTTAACGTCCGGAGGTACATTTGAGTACCATCAACTTCGAATGTTTGAATGTTGAAAACAACATTGCATTCAGTTCACGCGAATTTAGGTAATGGTACATTAAAGTCCTATGTTTAGATCATATTTTTACGATTAAAAGTAACGGCATCGCTGCTTTGTCTCTCGATATTCTCTTTTTTATAGTGAAGGTCATCCTGTGTTTATTATTTCTAACAGACAAATTGCTTGAAAATACAGGTGCTAAGGATACAAATTCCTAAATGTAAGTAATTTTCTTGTAATTTTGGGTAATTTACAAACTGTGCAATGTAATGTGAGCTTTCATATATGCCGTTTTTTAAATGGTACCTATAAGAACCTTTGGCTAGTAATGCATGAATTTTTTTCTACATTTACAGATTGCATGGAATCGAAATAAAATTCCTCTAACTGATACCCAGCTACTTGAAATCATGAAAATGATGATTTCGATGATCTTCCTTTAGACAATAATGATGATACAGATATTGAATCTGACTTGGAAGAGAATGTTGTGGATTTATTTTCCGCTGCTCAAATGACACGAATTGATGGAAGACCACCTGGACTAGAAGAGCATCAAACTGAAGAGGAATCGCAGGTAGCTGAGGGTGAACATACAGAAAATCAAGGTGCATCATCCAGAGAGGCCAATTTGGAAAAAAAATATGGAAGAATGAGGAGAGAGATATTAAAATACCAGATTATAATTTAGCTGAAAATTATTGGGAACCAAACTTTGCTAAATGCCAAATCTCTTTAGATATATTTTTAAAATTATTGGGAGATTCCATAGACCATATCGTTTTTCTTACGAATGTATATGCAACCTAAAAAGGAAAAATTTTGCAAATGATGAATAATGAATTTCTAGTATTTGTAGGTCTGAATTTTTTTATGGGGTACCACATCTTGTCCAGTATCGAAAGTTATTGGTACACTTCCGCTGATCTCCAAATACCACTTGTGGTAAAAACTATGAGAAGAAAGAGATTCAAAGAAATTCTCTCTAATTTGCACTTAAACGACAACTCAATGATACCGAAAGACATATTGTATAAAGTAAGACCTCTGACAAAAATATTAAATAAACAATCCATTGTTAAATTCAAAGGTCGTTCTTTCATAACGCAGTATAATCCCATGAAACCCATAAAAAGGGGATTCAAGGTATGGTGTCTTTCTGATATGAAAGGATTTATAAAAAAAATTTATATATATCAAGGCAAAAACGAGGCTTTGGATAATAAATATGAAGACTATCAACTCAGTGAACAAGTTGTTTTGCAAATGACTGAAGATGAATGGAGAAAGCATAGAATTGTATATTTTGATAACTTTTTTACTACTGTAAAATTACTGCAAAAACTACAAGCTGAAAAAACATTAGGATTTGGTACAATATGTTTTTGCTCTACAAGTTATAAATGATTATAACCCATACATGGATGGAGTAGATTATCATGATCAACTTCACCAATGTTATGGGCTGGATAGGAGATCAAAACAGTGTCACAGAATACTTTGGGGGTGCATTGAAATTACATTTATTAATTCATCCAAACAGCTTTTAGACAAAGAAAAAAGTTTACTGGATTACAGATGTGATCTGACAATGGGGCTCCTCGGAAAATCTCAATGTCCTACCACTCAGCACCTTTCACATTCACAAGGTGAAGAAGAGAAGTCAAAGAAGAGGAAGATGTGAGATGTGCAGTGCATGTGGTATACAATCCAAGCCTCGTTCTACCTGTTCCCTATGTGGTGTGTTCTTGTTTATTAATGAGAAAAAAATTGTTTTATTTCATATCACGAAGTTTAATATTTTATTATATTGATACAATTATAAACCAATAAAATACATATTTCGATACCTAAAGTTTGTTGATATTTTCAGCTAAAGGTACTTAGGAGTACCTTCTCTGAAAAACGAAGAAGAAATAGAGACATTTTGAAATAAAAGATGTTTTTATTTAACAGATGATATAGAAATCAATTTCTTTGAATTATTTTCATATTCTCTAAATAAATTAGGGGTTTGGCTTTTTATGGGGTATGTACTTTAAAGTACCGCTGGCTGTCAAAGGGTTAAATTATTATTTATATTTTATTATTATCAGTTATATTTGATACTGTTAATTTGTGAGGCTATGAAATAGCCTTGTTAGGAATTTATTACAATAGTCATCATGTGCACTCTCTCAAGACTACTTTTAAAATTGCCTTTGACAGGATTAACTGTAGTATCTTATTATTCAAATTTACTTTGTTGGGCATCAATAAAACAGTTATTAGATGATTTGGAAATATGCTGGATATAGATGGATGGATAGCAATGATAAATAGGTAAATATGAATCTAAGAATGAGTTTTAAATTCCAACAAATGCTATTTAATATGATTCTCTACGCTTAAATATTAATAGGATCAATGTAACACTGTATTGACAATGATAGATTAAATTTTAATTTAAGATCTTATGTCGTCTTACAGTCATCTTATATTTAGAAAGTTATTGCCTTTTTGAAGTGAACACCTCTCAAATGTTGAGTTTAATTCTAAGCACTTATAAAGATATGTGCATAAGTGCTGTTAAAATATACTTTTTCTTTCGTTAATGTTCACAAAGTGATTTTTACAAATAATTTGTAGGCATTATATCAAATTGAATACTGGACAACTAGGTTTTATCAAAATCAACATACAGACGTGATCCATTTAACACATAAAGTGCTCTTCCTATGCACTATCTACTAGATTAGTATATTCAATAACAATTTTGAAATTCAAAATAACTAACTTCACCATTCCGTTAGATAAGTGAAACAACATCCATAAATGGTAGTAGAAACAGAAAAATAAAACACTTTAGAATGGCATGTTGCTAACAAAATTAAATTAAACATAAGTACTAGGACTACAGCATGTTTCACATATTGCTTGAGGACTTACTATTCCTTCAATTTGAAATGTGGATGGTTTACAGCTCTATCTGATGTTCCAAAATGAGAAAATGATGTTTATTACAGTATAATGTGTACAATATTTTCTTGTTATTGAATTTTGTCACAGCAAACAAGTACAGTCAATAAACAAATATGTTAACATAAGCCGTATGTACTTATTAGTACTGCTTTGCCTACTGTTAAATACCCAATAAAATATTTTATATATTACCTCTTAACAATACCTTACCTCTCTAGAATTTAACAAAGTAGAAATTGGAATGTTCTCCGCTACAGCCACATGACTACAGGAATAAACCATTTCCCTACAAAAAATTGATGTAAAATGTTTTATTGCAGTTTACACCTTGGAACTGTTGAAAAACAATTGTCTAGCACCTTGAAGTATAAAATTATAACTTTAATTGTTAAGTTATATTCACCATAATTTAAAAGTACAAAGTTTAATTCAATAAAACTAAATTTTTAATGTGTCATACAAGTGACAAAAGAATTTACAAATTTAGGTTATGAATTATGTCAGCATTATTGTTTATGCAAATAAAGGGTATACGGATGATGATAACTAATGTATATATTGTTATAATACTGTACTGAACGAATTCCTTAATAATCATTAAAAAAAATTAATTACAGTTTTAAACTAACTTAAGTATTTACCTTAATAAAGAGAAGCCTATATTTATTCAAAATTCTAATTTGTTAATTAAATTAGACAGCAGTTTAACGAGCAACTAAATTTATAGATTTTTTTTATTAAAATTTCATGTTTAATTGTTGATTTGACGTTTTAAGTTATTTCTGACATGTCACTGGCATTGTTGTGAGCTGAAAGTGGAGTTTACGTATTCCACTAACATTCCATAATGATTCAATATGATTGGGTGTCTAGAATCACCTTAAAAATAATTGCACACTTCAACAAATTGACGATTATTATTATTCACACTTTGCTCTTTAAACGGACAGTAAATTTTAACTTTAAATGTCGATGTCAATGGTTGTCAAGTGTCTATTGTCATCTATCATAATTTTTTGTAAATTTAACAGTTAAAAATTCTTTTAATATGATAAGTTAAGCGTACCTATTAGATTGTATTAAAAAGTATTGTTTATGAACCAACATTTTCTTTCCTCAAAATATGCAGTAATGTTTTTTTAATAATTGTGTTTAGAATATGCAACTAACATTGCGTTACAGCTAGATGCTTAGAAACTAGGAATGATACATATTTTAGCCCAGTCAAATAAAATATTTATACACGTAAAGCAGTAATTACACGCAATTATCGCTATATACAACAAGCTTCCTATGTTTAGTAGGATTTTATTTAAAATGCTTATATAATAAAATATACTAGCAATCTCCTCACTTCCAAGTTTTGCTAAGTGTTCGGGCTACATATACATATATCCCATATCTTCAACGCAGTCATGTATTACTAAGTAATAGGTCCAGATTTTTCGTAAATAAAAAGCAGGACCAACTGTCAATGAAGGTATAGGCAGAGCTTACTGCAAATCAAAATTCAAAAAATCATTTTCTATACTTTACCTTTCAGGCTTTTTTGCAAAAATTCGGCCCTTCGATGGTGTAGCTCAAGTTGAGTCTTTAACCTGTCTGCTGAATGCTTCTGTACTGCCAACATTTCTAATTTGAATGTTTTGTTGGTGTCCGTTTTGGGTAATTTAAATCCAATGTTAAACTCCTTACAAAAAACATTTCTGCAGTAGGATTGACTTTTACTGGATTGGCATTTCTATTTCTACACCATACCAGGTAATAATCGTGATAAAGAGCAGAAATCGATAAATCATGATCTATGTACACTCTGTTTGGATTTTTTTTTGCCTACTACTATGAATAATGTATTTTGGAATGGCCTTAATATGCGTTTTTACGTTTTCACGATCACAGTCATTCATTTTATTTGCTCTGTTCTGGTGTTTGCCACGTTTATCTACTTTTGGGGTACTAGCACCTTCCCTCATTTGTTCGCATAAAAGTTTAATTCTTTTTTTTTATTTTGGCAATCCATGAACTGGAAAAAACTCTTGTTTGCATATCTTTACATCTATACCCTTGAGCTTTGCGACCGAAACATTTCGCGACGATATATGTTATTTGGTTTTTTGGGGTAGGTTCTTTTTTTGGAACAGATTTAATTTGGGAAAAAAGATAAATTTTGTGTTTATCATAGTCACCCAAGTTTCAAAACGCATTAAAAATCTGTGCTTCATTTTCTTGCAAAGTATCTCGACATTTCTTGCTATACTTACGTGGAGGTCCGATTTCCCTGTCAGGTACTTGTCTTTGCCGTTTACTTACATAGCTGTGGCCCAAATTTCAATTTTAACCTTGATATTAGTGCTCTCATAATAAATATAATTATAAACTCATTACAGTAATTCAGCATCATCATAATTTAACACGGATCTATCCACTGCTGGATATATGTCTCCCTCAGTCTTTTCCATGTATTTCTGTTTTGTGCTGTTTGCATCCAATTTTTGTCGATCTGTTTTATGTCATCAGACCATCTTGTTGGTGGACGACCTCTACTTCGATGTGCTTCTTGTCTCGGTCTCCACTGTATTATTCGCTGTGTCCATCTGTTATCCGACATTCTAGCTATGTGCCCCGCCCAGTTCCACTTAAGGGTCAAAATCCTTTCTATGGCATCTGTCACTCCTCTTCTCCGTCTTATTTCCTTGTTCGTGATCCGATCCCTACGAGAAATGCCTAACATCGATCGCTCCATGGCTCTTTGGGTAATACAAATTTTATTTCTTACTTTCTTGTAGTGTTAATGTCTCTGTACCATATGTAAGTACTGGCAACACGCACTGATTAAAGACTTTTCTTTTAAGACAGACAGTGTCTGTCTTACTAATAAAACACTCGTATTCTAAGGTTATTCCGTATTTATACTTAGAATAGTTATCCTAAGTATAAGGTAAATATAATACTAAAATAATTTTTTACAAATAAACTCGGTATAAGTTAGTTATAAGTATTCCCACTTTATTCCGAAATAATAGTTTGGCAATGTCGCAATCTTTTGCATAAATACATAGAACTCTCTTACATATCTCTGACATAGAACAACGAAATACTGAGTGAAATTTGTCAATTCTGATTTGTCTTTGAAACTGAAAATGACAACTGACACCATATATATCTTTATTTGTTATCTTATATGTTGAGTTTGAGTATTTAAAAATTGCAAAAAACTTTACACCGCCTTTAGAAAACCGATATTTTATTCTAAATTCCCTATCAGTGTTTTGAAAAGGGATTTATTCTTTCTTTAAAAGTTTTTCTCTTTGGTATATTTTCCATCATGTTAATTAAATTATCAACATCCTCGACAGCCGCAACACATCTTAAAACATTTTTTTTTTTATTAAATAGCTACTCACAAAATAATACAAAAAATAATATATTCTTGTCACTGATGACTTTCACATTATTATAAAATAGGTTATACCGTTATACCAGACTTAAACTAGGGTGCGGGTTGGTATAATCTTGGAATAAATTCTTATATCAAGTATAACCTATATCTAAGTTATTCCGTGTTTATTGGTAAAGATTTTGCCTATACCTGAATTATTCTCAGTATAAGTTTTATACTTGGTTTATTAGTTATGCTGACATAGGCAGTTCTGATTTAAGAACATAGCTCAGCTTGCCGAATGCCACCCAAGTGAGTCCTATGCGGCGGCTTAGTTCGCACGTTTGATTATCTCTTCCTATGCGTATCTCATGTCCTAAATACTTATAAGAGGTGGTTTCTTCAATATGCATGCCATTTACTGAAATCTTTTCGCTTAACACAAGATTTGTCATGATTTGTGTTTTTGTGTGGTTGATTTTTAATCCAACTTATATAGTTTCTCCAGTTGAGATACTGCATCATCGATTCTGTTAGCAAAAAGGACAATATCGTCAGCAAACCTCAAATGACTAAGCATTTCTCCATTGATATTAATTCCTTTTTCACTCAGATTTGCATTCTTAAACATATGCTCCAATAATGTTGTAAACCATTTTGGCGAAATTGTGTCTCCCTGTCGCACTCCCCGTTTTATTTTAAATACGTTGGTCTTTTTATCTGCCAGTTTCACGCTTGCTGTCCCATTTTGATAGATGTATTTTATCATAACAGTAATTATGGAGTATATTACAGTTCAATACCTCTAAAATAATGTTCGATTAGACAACACCGCATCAACCAACGTCTGTCGTGTCTGGTCGTGTCAAATCGTCACCGTTGCAGTTAAAACTCTCGTGGAGTCATCTATGAAGAAAAAGCTGTAGTTTTTATTTTGTAGGTAGATAGGAACCTAACCATTTGAAAAATAGATATAACTCATTTTTAGTAAGATTGTGGCTTGTACCGTTGTTGTTTAAGGTCTTCAATTATCTCCAAATAACTTAGGTATAGGGAACGCTAATACTATTTGAAAGATAATTGACTTTCTTTTTCTTTAAAATGATAAAATACAGGGTGTTTCATTAAAAATTACATTACATTACATTAAGGTATCATTTCTACTACAAGCCATGAAATAATCCGTTTCACATCTACTCACTCTCAAATAAAACTATATTCAACTTTAAAAATGTATATTATAGTATAGAGTATATAAAAGGTTCATCGGCATTTATTGTTTCTTGAATCTATTAGTGATGAGGAATTACGGGTCCTGGACCGCGTTCAAATCCGTGACGAGCAGGTCCGTTTGAATCAGCTCTGAAAACAAAAAAATACGTCAATTCCACAAAAATAAATTCAATCCAATACAATTTTGAGTAAACAATAATGACTTTTTTAAAATAATAGATACATATACATGATAAAGATTTTTGTTGATGGCTTAGGATTTGAAAAGTAAACGTTTGCATCTGTTTCTGATATGTTTTGCATAAAACCAAACTCATTATCGGATATTTCGGTTCATTACCTATCCGTCTATCAACTACACTTTCCCATATTTTCATGGCGTAAATAAGTAGTTCTATGGCCATGTAGTTTATAAATTGTTGTATATTTTCCTTGTTTTTGCAAACATGTATTAAACTACTGCTTCCTCATTCGTCCGGCATTTGTCCCTCTTGCAGAATTCTATCAAATAAACTTCTTAGCCAACTTGTTCCTGTCTCTCCTAAAGTTTACCACATTTTCCCAAGAATATCATCTGGTTCAGTTGCTTTATCGTTCTTTAACGTTTAAATCAACGTGTTTTCTTCAAATTCTTCATTTAATTAACTGTCAAACTACATTTTCTATCGCCTTTTGACATCCATTTCCTGAACTAGTATTCTATTCAAATAATAAATTGGTTGCTCGTGTGAGTCCATTTCAAAGTAGAAATAAATGACAGACTTACTCACAATATATCTATTTATTTCTTAGGCAAGGAAAGAGAGAGGACAGGTAACTTTCATTTAATAAACCATCGAAAAGTGAAGCCAGTTTCAATGTCACAGCCTGTTTTGTCACTGTATCACAGTATATTGCCATAGATAATGGTATATTGCCAAAGAATTAGGTAAAGAAATAATAATAAGACTTACTCACAATCAATTGATTGTGAGTAAGTCTTATTATTATTTCTTTACCTATTTGATATGGACTCACACAAGCAACACATTCATGATTTGCCAAAGAATTCTTTATAAAGCAATATACTGTGACTTACGTTGCCCATTACTACCACTCGCAGGGTTACCAGGTCTACTGATTTTTCAGCAGATCTACTGATTTCAACTTCAAATTGACTGAAACACTATATCGACCTACTAAACAATATGTAATGATAACATCACGTTCAAAAAGTGATCATTATGTCAGTGTTCAATTATAAATTAAAAAAAAATCTATTTATTCTAATCTAAGTATTTATTTAGTAAGTAAGCGATGACCTGTTTTGATCACTGGACGAAACTGGTTGTCAACCGGTTGTACATAAAATAAACAAGTGACTTTTCTGCTCTTTTGATACTATATTTTTTCAAACTTTTGCTTTAAGGAATAATTTAAACATTCAAACTATACTAAGAATTACTTACTGAGGTGCGAGAACTTTTCTGCCTGTGTCAGCACTGCTCAAGTCTCTGTAGTGGCGTCCACTGCCAATATTTGGATTGAAACCAGTAGCGTGGGGCCTATTTTGATTAGGGTTGAAGCCAGTGGCGTGGCGCTGCTGACCAGGATTCAATCCATAAGAATGCTGTCCATACGCTGCTTCTAAGCATAGGTATACAGCCAAAGTGGCTAACTAAAACAAAATAAATGTACTTGTACAAAGATTGTGTGTACAAAGTGTAAATAAACAATGAAATTCTGTGAGAAACCGTTCATGGAAAACAAATTGTGGCAAACAAAAATATTTTGAGTAGAATATTCAATTTCCTAATTAATTATTGTTCTGAAACAAAAGTAGGACTTCATCAGGGTGAGCCATTATCAATTGTGCTGTTCAACTTGATACTGAAGACAATAATCAGAAAACAAGATAAAACCCAGGAAACAACATTTAAATGATCATCAATGTATAGCATATAATAAAAGAAGAAAAATATTTGGGATTATAATAAATCAAGAGAAGACAAAATATACGATACTGCATGGAACGAGATAGGAGGAAACTTTAGATTTCAAATGGAAGAAGGAGTTACCTACAGTTTCCAAATGTTAAAAGAGATTAAGTATCTAGGGCTAAGAATAAAGGACGAAGACTACGAAGAACAGGAAATTAAAGCGATAATAGCAAATGGAAACAAAAAGTATGGAAATTAAAGAATGTTAATGAAATCTAAATACGTATCAAGGAAGACAAAAATAAGAATATAGAAAGAAAACAGTTATTAGACGAGTAGTAGCATATGCAAGTAAAACACGGTATAGGACCAATCATGCTGTTCAATTTTCTCACATGCGAAAAACCATGTCATTTTTTCGCTATATTATTAACTATCCTTATATCACAATTTTACAATAATTATCTTAGTCCACTCCTTAATAACCCTTCCTACTTACAGTTCAACCCCCTCCCTCACGAAATACAGACAGTTTCAAGATAGCAAAGAAGAAAGACACTCTCTTGATGGTCGTCCGTCATTAAGGACAGACCATTCTCAACTCTCTTAGTTTGGCAATCGCTAGAGCCAGACGCTCTCTCTCTTTAATTCTCTCTCTCTTCGCTTATCAAGAAGAACAGCATCTATCTTGGCTGTTTTCATAATTTCATAGAGGTAATCATAATTACCTCTTTCCCGCTTTAGTTACGCGAGAAATATCGAAAATACTGTATTAAATCGTGTGCAGACAAAGTGTGTGCTCTATATCGTGATATATTTGCGAAACAAGTGTTCAGAAACCGGTGCATCGGACAAATTTCGCGGGTGAAGAATAACCACGAGTGAAGACCGGAAACAACCGTGAGAGTGTGGAGCAGAAAAAATATTGGTAAGACTTTCTATAAACTTAATTTGCTATTGTCTGTATACCTTTTATTACTTATCCTAATTTTATTGAACCAGCCCTATATAATACAGTCCACATACACATGATATAGGAACAAATATAAAACAAAGGAGCAGAGGCACGAGAGAACTCTCTCTTTGTCAATCATTTTCCATCCACTTCTGAATGTAGGCCTCTTCCAATTGCTTCCATCTTTCTCTATCTTGCGCCAATCTAATCCACTGTTTACCTGCCACTGCTCTTATATCATCTACCCATCTTTTTTGACGTCTTCCCATGCTTCTTGTTGTCGTCCTTGATTTCCATTCTAGAATTCTCCGTGTCCACCTGTTGTCATTATATCGGGCTACGTGACCTGCCTATGGTGTTCCTAATCTTGTCTCTCAATGATATTCCAAGCATGATTCGTTCCATTGCTCTTTGCGTTGTTTCTAATTTTTTAGCAGATTTTTTGGTAAGGGCTACTGTCTCCAAGCCGTAGGTACAAACTGGTAGTATGCATGTGTTATACACTTTTTTCTTTAAGTTTACAGGAATGGAGGTGTTTTTCAAGATACATGCTACTTTGCCGAAAGCGCATTTTTAATTTTAGCATTTAACATTTTCTATGGTATGATTTTATATTGTTATATTTGTCTGGTCTCGGCTCAGAGACGAGAGAACAAATCCTTGTAATGTAAGAAAATGTAAGAAATATCACAGAGAAAGCCAGATATAATCAGATCCCGATATTTAGATGTTTTGTCGATTATACTGACATTGGACAATGTTAGATGAGATAAACTGTGAAATATACTATGAACAATGGGCGTACCTAAACACTTAACTCATCTTCTCAGCAAACTGTTGAAAGATAACCTGGCATACATTCGAATGAACGGATAGCTATCTGGTGAATGCTTTTTGGAGAAAGGAGTACACCAAGGATGCGTTTTATCTCCCTTATTATTTAACATTTATATATAATTCATAATTGGCAAGGTTTTGGATAGCTGGGAATGAGAAATAAATTTAAGCGGTGTCAAGATTTAGTGTCTAGTCTCTTCTCCAGAAGAATTCACTAACTTACTAAAAACTCGAGGTAGAAAGTGCTAGGTTTGGACACATGGTTAACTACAACAAAACTAAATTCATGGTTATGGACCTCTAACAACATTTAGTCTACAATATATTGGAGCTCTGGTTAACAACACAGGCAGTTGTGAACCCGAAATTTGAAAAACATACAGCTTGCAAGGGCAGCAATGTCTCAACTAAATGGAGTCTGGCATGATCATCACATTACTGCAAGCACAAACAAGAAAATTTCCACATTTTATTGTACATGCGAGATAAGTAATTCGAATTCCATGGATGGCTCGACATACGAATGTCTCGGTTCTAGATGAAATTAAACCCAATCAACTTCTTTCACGAAACGATCTCAAAATGGAGCAGTTGTTGGTCCAAGAAAGACCTCATCAGTGCCAACGCAGTAGATCCCTAAAGCGACAAGCAGACATTACAAAAAAGCTTCTCAAAAAACGGTATACTGAGGCGGCACATACAACATTTGACCTAGACCAATGGAGAAAGATCAAAATGAAGTTCTAGTTGTAAGTAAAGCCACCAAACCAAAAATGTCCCTTTTATTGACACTAACCCGGTTTGTAATGACTTAAAGCGTTAGGACTTCTAGCTTGATTTTTACCAACTACGTCTTTCTGATTTGTTATGTGCTTTTATAACTTAATTACGAGGTTATTACGTTTTAAGCATTATTAAAAATATTATTAAATAAATAATTCTTACTGAGAAAATAGACTGGGACATGAGCAAAGAAATTAGAATACGGATAAAGAAGGCCAGAGCTGCATTCTTTAAGATGAAGTAACTGTTATGTGCAAACAATATTACTTTAATGAAATCGTAGGCTTCTACGGTCAGAGTCAGAATTATAGTTTATTCGTCTTCCGGGTTTGGACATTTTGGTTTTCACCTCTGGCTGCGTTAAGTAGTTGAGTTACTGTGACCAAATGCCCATCTTGGTAGTTAGTATTCGCCTCTGGTTGCGTTGAGTAACTGAGTTACCGTTGCTAACTACCCATCTTCCTGTCTTTTGATTTCTTTTTCTTTGTTCTCCTGAAGAAGCTACATACAATTGTAGCGAAACGTCGAGATGAACCCACTTTTGGGTCACTCACAAATGACACGGTCCAAACCCGGAAGACGAATAAACTATAATATTACTTTAAGTCTGAAAATTAGATTAGTGAGATGTTATGTGGTCTCTACTCTTTTGTATGGTGTCGAAGGTTGGACTTTGACAGATACACTTCTCAAGAAACTGGAAGCCTTCGAAATCTGGGTGTATCGGAGAATCCTACTAGAATTTGTAATATTACATCATATCACAGCAGGACCTAACAATTTACCTTTTACTTTCATTGAAAAGATAGAGCTGAACTAATGGAAGATATAAAGCATGAAGAAAATAAAAACAACCTTGAATAAGCAGCAACAGTCATACTGAACAAAAGAAACAACAACAATATACCATGGTTCAGAAAAGAAATAAAAGAGAAATATAAAGAGAAATGAGAGGATAAACGAAGTACAAAACATCAAATACCTCAGAATCCCGAGACAGCTATAGAAGAATACGAAATGGAACAAAGCAGTTGGTATGAAGAACAAAAACTGAACACTGGGAACAGTTGACAAAAATGATGGAAAGCGACTTCTACGGTACACAAAAACAAATATGGAGATTCATAAGAAACCAACGGAAAGAAATGGCAGAATTGAATTAATACAATAATATGCTAGCAAACGAATGGGAAAGATACCTGACGAAACTGTTTAAAGGAAAATGTAATCAACACAGTAACGCACCTGAATTAAGTCACGAAATAGAAATCAGTTTACAAAAACTAATATTGCACTGCAAGATACCAGACGCATGGAGAAACAGCATAATGATACTAACGTTTAAGAAACAAGGTAAAGAAAACCTTGACAATTATAGAGGTATAACCAAGGTATAAGTCCTAACCAACAAAACCAATAAACTAACAACTTTATCAGATGAACAACAAGGATTCAGATCCTGTAGATCCTACGTAGACACCGTATTTGTACTAAAACAAATCACAGAAAAGGCCATCGAGTACAATAAACCAGCATATCTATCTTTTATAGTCCTGACAAAGGCTTTCGATCGCATCCAAGTCGAAGACGTCTTACACCTATTGTATAAAAAAAAGATACCAATCAATATTGTACAAACTGTCGTAAACATCTACTTCCATAATCGAATACAGGCAAAGATAAATGAAAAACTAACACAGTATATACCAGTACAAAGCGAAGTCAGACAGGATGACTAAGTCCACTTCTCATTAGTATAATAGATAGATAGATAGATAGGTTTATTGACAATTTTTACATAGTAAACACTACATGTCATGTCACAATAAAAATAATTTACTTTTGTATACTAAGAACTAAGAAATAATACAAGAACATATAATAAAACATATACAGTGAAAATTAGATATATAAAATTATAACAAATAAGAAAGAAACATTTCAGTAAGGCGTAATATAGTTTTCATTAAAAACGACCACACTAGGAGCTCAAACAAACAAATTCCTGTATACTATAGAAACAGTGTTCCAGCAGGAAGTGTTTTGCTAGTTTATAAAATTGTTTAGAATTCATTGCCTTAATATCAATATTTTTGTTTAAGTTTAAAATAACAATTATACAGATTATAATCTATTGTATTAAGTTGTGTAACACACAATCTGGAATATGGTATAATGATATGACTTTTATTTCTTGTATTGTAATGATGTTGATCAGCATGTGATTTTACATCTTTTATATTATTATGAATAGTTAACAAATATATATATTGAAGGTAAAGGAAGAATGCCATACTTCTTAAATAAGGGTTTACAGCTGGCGCGATATTCTGCCGAGTCAATAATTCGGATTGCTGCTTTTTGAAAAGTGAAAACTTTATATGCATAGGACGAGTTTCCCCAAAGAAGTATGCAATATGTCAGGATACTATGAACCATTCCAAAATAAACTGACCTAAGAATATCTCGACTCACAGAAGTAGCCAATCTGCGCATAGCAAAAATCTGTGAGGCGAGCCCCCTACACAATCGTTCAATATGGTGCGACCAGTTCAACCTTGTATCCATAGTAACACCTAGTAACTTTACTGGTTCAGATGGTGTAACCCATCTATCAGAACTAAATATGATTTTCTGGGTTTTCTGCTCGTTTAACTTAAGTTTGTTACAGTTAAACCAGGATTTAGATTTTTCTAATATATCTTGACTGTAATCAGTTTTACCTCTACATAATAAGGTTGTGTCATCTGCAAAAAGAACACAGTTGTTGTTATCCAATGCACTTGGTAAATCATTTATATATATCAAGAATAGTAGAGGACCCAAAACTGATCCTTGTGGTACTCCGGTTGAAACTGGTAAAGGATCAGATTCTTGATTATTAAATGCAACAAACTGTGTTCTTCCTGTAAGATAGGATTTTAAAAGGTCATGTATGGTGCCCCTTATTCCATAGTACTCCAATTTTATCAATAGTGTTTGAATATCTACACAATCAAAAGCTTTTGTAAGGTCACACATTAAGCCATTAGTAGGTTCACCTGCATCAAAACCGTGAACAATATGTTCTATTACTTCTAATAAAGCTTTAGTTGTTGAGTATTTTTTTCTAAAACCAAATTGAGAGCTAGATATAATTGATTTGTTATCCAAATAATTTGATATACGATCTTTAATTAAGATTTCAAAAATTTTACTTATTGTTGGTACTATGGTAATAGGTCTGTAATTGTCAGGAGCATTTTTATTTCCTTTTTTATGAAGTGGAATTACTTTTGATATTTTGAATACATCAGACCAGTAACCCTCGTTAATGCATTTGTTAAATATTATTGTGAGTGGTTCAACAATTGTATCAAGCGATTCCTTAATAATTTTACTGTTAAAACTATAGTAGTCAACACATGAGGAATAAAATAATGGGAAAAATAATGGGCGAAATAACATAAGCAGTACGTAAAGGTCATGACTACAGAATGAGATACAAAGAAATACAAATATTATGTTATGCAGACGACGACGCATTAATCGCCGAGACAGAAGACGAGCTCCAAAGATTAACATACATTTTGAATACAAAGGCCAAGAAATACAATATAAGAATATCAAATGAAAAATCAAATGTATGACAACATCTAAATACTCACTACGATATAAAATCGAAATTGATGGGAAAATAAGAAAGGACTAAGCAGGGTTTAGATATCTGGGAATAGACATAACTAGTTATGCAGATGTTGAAGAAGTACGACAACAAAACCTAAAAACAAGTAAAGCGGCGGAATCTCTTAATGACACAATCTGAAAGAACAAAAACCTAAGACAAGACACAAAACCAAGAATCTATAAACAGCAATTAGACCTATATTAACATACACGGCGGAGGCAAGACCTGACACATCTAAAACGAGACGACTACTAGAAACAACAGAGATAAAAAACACTTCCACGAATATCAGGGAAAAATCTGTTGGACAGGAAGAGAAGCAAAAACATAAGAAGAGCATGCAATATAGAAGACATAAATGGATGGGTGACAAAATGGAAACAGGAGTGGAACGAACACATTAATAGAATGACAGAGGATAGGATAGTACGAATAGCACGAGATAAGTCACCAAATGGACGAAGAAGTATTGGCAGACTAAGAAAAAGATGGTGCGATAATTTAAACAATTTAGGAGGCTAATATTGAAGAAGTAACAGGCTTTAAAGCCTGCTTACAAGAAGGAAGAAGAAGAGGAAGACTTTCCATTTTGCCCAAAACCCACTCCAACTCCAGATTTTCGGAGAAAAGTAGTCAAAACAGCTTAAAGTGAAAGTAAATAGGCACAAATCAAAACAAAGTCATTCGGAATCTCTATAAAAATATCTACTACCTTGTTATTACTCTTTTGGATGATCTATTCTTTTTGTAGAATAATTTGTTGAACTGTAAATGGTAAAAACCTATACCAGGATTTGATTTATACAATAATTAATAAAATATTATCGTTATTAAATAAATAAAGATAAAAACACCTTCACAGATAATAGATAATAAGTACTTACTACTAACTTGCACATCATGATTAATGATTGTAATGAACGTTTCACTTGTTATGATTAATTTTAATCAAAATCTAGAATATATACTATATTTGTGTGCTATTCTCGGAATACTTTTTACCCAAACATTGTTTAATCTAGAGTTTTGAAGGGGATTCCGCTTATTACACACAAAAAAAGAATTCATTGAGATTATGTAAAAATATCTATTCAATTTCTTATACTAGTTTTATACGAGAAGTTAATTGTCTTTTTAATGAATTTCTTCGAAGTTAGAAATATTTAATAAGTACGAAGAAAACGTTTTTATACCTGCAGGTTGGTATACAAAGAAGTGTAAATTTGTATGTGATTTATAATTGTACAAAAATTATTAAATAGTTTTGTGTTTGCAGGTACTAATTTGCAGGATATAAGTACGTGGTACAATAATAAAAAGTCTATATTTTTATCAAAAAAACGCAGTTACTACTCTATGAATTCTACCTATAGAATACCAAACTTTGTATACAATACAATTTATAGTAATCATCTGTTTTCAGCTACGTTTAAAATCTATTGTCTAAAATTCACTTTGCTATGCCTTGTTGTATCGGCTTGTTTCCTGCCCATCTTAAATTTCCCATCTTAAATTTGGACGCCTTCTTGGTCTCTTGACGCCTCTTCGATACCACAGTGTAATTCTAATGGACTACTTATTGTCAGTTCTTTTCGCCCACTGCCCCAAAGTAACCTTGGTTATCTTTCTGATCCATTCTATTCTTTTTCGATCTCTTTTTGTTATACCTAGCATGCATCGCTTCATTGACCTTTGAATGACTTTCTTCTTCTCCCAGTCAGTGCCATCCCCGCGACGAAGGTTGGCAATCATCATGGCTATTCTGACCTTCGAGGCAGCTGCTCTGAACAATTGTCTTGAGCTGCAACCAAACCACTCTCTCAGGTTCTTTAACCAGGAAACGCGTCTTCTTCCTACGCTTCTCCTACCCTCTATTTTTCCTTAAATTATGAGGAGACTCATATTCGACTTTTCCTTAAATTATGAGGAGACTACATGTTCGAGATATTGCAGTGACTCTGAGTGACTTTGAGTTTCGATATTATCTATTTCTTTAGTGTCCAAGTTTTGCAGCCGTATATTATGATTGTTAGTATAAACTGATTGAACGTTTTTTTCTTCAGGTTGATTGGCGTAGCAATCAACTGGCTTCAGGCAAGTTCTTGTAGTTCTGCAGGATTATTAGCAATCAGAATGATGTCGTCTTCTTCTTCTTTCTGTGCCGTGCTTGTATTCAAGCGTTGGCTATCGTCATGTTGACCAGCTGATGAAATGATTCTCGGTCCTCAGCTAGATGAAACAGTTCCTCGACCGTTCGACCTGTCCATTGTCTAATGTTACGCAGCCGGGACAGTTGTTTTCTTCCGACCCGAATGATTAACCGGAGTAAGCGATATTTAGGTCCTCTCATTATATGATCGAAGTATTGGACCTTTCTCATTTTGATGATGTTGATCAATTCTCTCTCTTTGTGCACGGTCTCTAGCACACGTTCGTTAGATATGTGTGCTGTCCACGGGATTCTGAGCATGCGACGGTAACACCATAACTCAAATGCTTCTAATTTGTTAAGATTTTTTATTTTTGTTGTCCAGGTTTCACATCCATAGAACAAAGTGGACCAGACTGAGTCTTCGATATTAATTTTTCCGACCACCATCCATTTTGTTTTTTTTTGCGTTGATTGTTAAGCCCTTTTCAGTGCATTCGTGGTTTACAGCATTCAACAGGGTTTGAAGATCTTCTAGACTCTCTGCCATTATTGCGGTGTCATCGGCGTATCTGATGTTATTAACAATTTCACCACCGATCTTAACACCTTCGCGGCGATTATTTAACGCTATTTCAAAAACTGGTTCAGTGTAGGCATTAAACAACATCGGTGACATAACACATCCGTCTGACACCACGCTTAATAGAAACTTTAGCTGAAACCTCTTGGTCCACCTTAACACAAGCGGTCCGATTGTAGTAAAGATTTTTGAGCAATCTAATGTCATACATGTCCAGACCAACTGAGTCTAAGCATTGAAATAATAATGTATGTGGTACTCTATCAAAGGCTTTTTCCTAAACTCAATGCTGTTTTATAAGAGTATTCGCATGCAGAAAAGAGCTTCTCGAGTACCCATACCGTTTCGAAAACCAAACTGCTCATCACCAGTTATCCCCTCACAAAGTTTATATATATGCGACAATGCAATATTTTCATAAAAATTTTGATCGTGTGACTCATTAAACTGATAAGTCGATAGTCGCTACACTGTCTGGCATTCTTTTTCTTGGGAATAGTTATAAATATCGATTCTAACCAGTTGTCTGGTAATTTGCCGCTGCTGTATATCTTATTAAAGAAGGATGTGATAATCGCAACACTCTTATTATCTAATAGTTTTAACAATTTTGCAGGTATTTCGTCAGAACCAGAAGCCTTCCTTCGTTTCGCTTGGTCGATAGCCTTCTGAACTTCTGAGATTAGAATCGGTGGGCCTGTATCTCGGTTAGATGTTATTTCTTGGTAGATTCTTTGGTCATCGTTAAATAAGTCTATTATGTAATTTTCCCATTCGGTACAGCTCTCTTTAATATCACTTAACATTTTACCACCAGAGTCTTGTAATATATTTTGCCCATAAGTTCTGCTTTTACCTGTTAATTCTTTTAGTTTTTTTTTATGCAAATGGAAACTGTCGTGTTGTTGCTCCAGTTTCTCAATTTCTAAACAGGATTCTTGTAGCCATCGGTCTTTTGCTACTTTAATTCTTTTTCGGATTTCTTTATGTATTTCATTGTATTTTTCTCTGTTTATGGATTTATACTGCCTCCGAACGTCCATTAAATCTAAGATGTCTTGCGTCATCCAGTCATTTTTAACTGTTATTTCGTCGTTGTTGCTTGACATGACAATTGTTCGTGGAATATCCTTAGGGATCTTTAATATAGTGGTTTTCCGTTGCCTACTATATCTCCATGCCGTTGGCCGTTTATCGGCTCATCCGCCTTTTGGGACAATTTCTTATTCCAGGGACAAGGGGGTGCCCTTATTCTCTTCTCAGTTCGTTTACCCGAAGCTGTTTACTAACAAGAGAGGGACTGCTTATCCCGGCAGTAAGTCGGTAAGGTAAAGGTAGTTAGGGTATACTAATTTAATGGCGGCAATACTCGATATGTCACATGGGCTATTGTAGTATTTTATAAGGTATGCTTTCCTAAGGCATACCCATTACACCCTCCAGTATCGCCGTTGCTTGGTCGGGGATTGCTTATTCAGTATATTCGCAACTAACCTTCATAACCGAAGGCCATCCACTATTCGCCACCTGTGACCCCGCTGTTAGGCTGCAGCTCAGCCTCAGCATGATCTGTCGTCTGCAAATCTGTATTCCCCATCAATGTATATTCGTTTGTTCTGCCCATTCATTATGCTGATTATATTTTCTAGAGTTGCAGTGAATATCTTTGATGATATGATGTCTCCTTATGATTATGATGTCTCGGATGCCTCTGCTAGTAAAATTCTGGAGTGTTTTCATAGATTTTTACCTTAGCTTTTGTTGTATGTATATATTTGCTAAAGTTTCTATGTACGGTTAGTCAATGCCTTGGTTGGTCAAAGCTTCTATTACTGCCTTAGGATATATAGAATCGAAAGCATTCTCGAAATCTAATGCTAGCGGTATTTCATATTCCTTAGCTCTACACGTTAGTTCTCGAAGCTTGTAAATATGATCCATGGTACTGAATCCACTTCTGAAGCCAGCTTGCTCTCTTGACTGTGCAGCATCTAATGCATTTGTTAATCTGTTGTTGATGATCTTTGTGAATATCTTATGGTATATAGTTTTTAATATCCTCTTTTCTACCTTTCTTATGAATAAGAATTATGTTTGCTGTATTCCAGAGGTCTGGAACAACACACTCACGGAGAAAGCGAAGCTATCTGAGGAAAGGAATGCCAAAGGTTTATAACGTTGCAAATAAGAAAAAGATTCTTCTTCTTCACGTGCCATCTCCGCGACGGAGGTTGGCAATCATCATGGCTATTCTGATCTTAGATGCTGCTGCTTTGAATAGTTCAATTGATGTGCATCCGTACTATTCCCTCAAGTTATGCAACCATGAGATTTTTCTTCTTCCTACACTTCTCTTGCCCTGGATTTTTCCTTGTATAATCAATTGAAGTAGGTTGTATCTCTCATTACGCATAACATGCCCCAGGAATTGCAGCTTTCGTGTCTTGATGGTTTCCAATACTTCCATTTTTATGTTGATTCTTCTCATGACTTCGTTGTTTGTCACATGCTCGGTCCATGATATCTTCAGGATTTTTCTATACACCCACATTTCAAATGCTTCCAACTTTTTAGCAGTCGACGCGTTAAGTGACCATGCTTCCATCCCATAAAGCAGAGTCGAGAAAATATAACAGCTTGCCAGCCTAACTCTCAATTCCTCTAATTTTAGTTCTCTTGCACAAAGTACATTTCTCATTTTATTGAAGTTTGTACGTGCTTATTTTTTTATACGTGTTTATTAATAATCCATATTCTTCTCCATACCCAACTGTCTTGTTCATTAGCTTTTGGAGGTCTTGGAGGTTGTCTGCTATTATGATAGTATCGTCCGCATATCTAATGTTGTTAATTGATGTTCCATTGACCTTGATTCCTGTTGTTTCTCCCTCATAATTTCATAATTTCCTTCCAATCCTTCATAATTTCTTCAGAGTATGCATTGAATAGTAGTGGTGACAATACACACCCCTGTCGCACTCCTCTTTAACCTTCGAACTCTTCTGATGTGTGTTCATTAATGCGTACATGTGCCTGCTGTTTATATGCTGTTATAATTCGAAGGCCATTGTGTTGTAGTTATTTTGCTTTGAGGATGTCCATTAGCTCTTTGTGGCGGATTTTGTCGAAAGCTTTGTTGTAGTCTATGAAACAGACGTAGATATCGCACATCAGCAACAACACTGTCACAAGTCGAAATTCAGTGTTTTTTATTTTTGTTGTAATAAAAGGGTATTTTGTTATACTTTCGTTAGCATTACTGTCGAAAAGATATTTTGTCATATAAGCGCTAGATGGCGACTTATGTCCATTATAGCTATAACTACTTT